GAAGAAGTACAGCTCAATTTTAGAGTGAGAAAGGAACAAGACAAACATTAAGGGATCTGAGCCTTGTGGGGGGCAGCCATTAAGCAAATAATTATACAACTAACTGAATGATTATAATTGTGATAAGTGCTATGAGAGAAAAATACAAGCTATTTAGGAGGACATACTGGGCATTCCAACCTAGTGTGGGGGGATAGAGAAAGCCATTCTGGTGAAGTATCATTGAATCTAAGACTGGAAGGCAAGGAAGGAAAAGATAGAAGAAGAAACAAAGAGAAAGTTATTGAGGCCAAAGTCAAGTAAGTTAGGGTGAATATGTGTTGAGATAAGAACAGAGAGGCAGGGGCCAGAACTTGCAGAGTCCTGTTGACTATGTTAAAAACTTTGACTCTTCACTGTAAAGCAGTGAAAAACAATTGAAGGGTTTTAAGAAAAAGTGTGCCATGATGGAACATAATTTTTAGTAAAATTACTTTGGCTGCTGTTAGGGCTTGTATGGGCATGGAGTGGAGCGGGAGTAGTCCATGTGACTGACAGTGATGATTTATAGTAGGGTAGTGGCACAGAGATGGAGAGGGGTAAACAAATTTGAAACGTATTTTGGAAGTAGAATTCACAGGATCTGGTGACTGGATATGGATAGTGAAGAGAGGAACAGATCTAGGATGACTCCCAGATTTCCAGACAAACACTAGGATGGATGGTGGTACCATTTATGTAATTTTAATATGTAAATTAAATTAATATATATAATACATGTAATAAATTAATAAAGTTTTTTCACAAGCATATTTTGCTTATTCCAATATTTCTGGCATTTCCTAATGGAGATTTTAGTGACTCTCTAGTGGAAATTTAATTAACTCAATGTATTTCCTCCACTGTGTAACAACTATACATTACTACTTATTACTACAACTAAATAAATAAAGATTTACTAGGCAATTATATATATATATATATATATATATCTTTTTTTTTTTTTAAATTTATGTAAATACTGTTCTGGGTTTCTGCTAATTTCACATAAATATAAAAATTCTCTACCATGAGAAAAATTAGTTGAATTTAAATCATATAACAATGGTGAAATATATTATTATTTAACATGCAGCACAATTCGCTTTTGTTCACAATCAAACTTAATTAATTTTTTAAAGTAAATCTTGGGGCCGGCCTGTGGCTTACTTGGGAGAGTGTGGTGCCGATAACACCAAGGCCATGGGATCGGATCCCTATATAGGGATGGCCGGTTGCTCACTTGGGAGAGCGTGGTGCTGACACTACCAAGTCAAGGGTTAAGATCGGCTTACCGGGGCCGGCCTGTGGCTCACTCGGGAGAGTGCGGTGCTGATAACACCAAGGCCACGNCTTTAAAAAAAAAAAAAAAAAAAAAAAATTATTGAACACTTACTGTGTGCCAGGCATTGTTAGATGCTAGGAATACAGTGATGAACAATATAAAGTTCCTAGAGCTTACATTTTATTATTAGAAGACAAACATTTCTATGACATGGCAACTATAGTTAATAACAATGTACTATATACCTGAAAATTGCTGAGAGTAGATTTTTAACTATTCTCACAAATAAATATGTGAGGTAATGCATATGTTAATTAGCTTGATTTAGCCATTCTTCAATGTACATGTATTTTATTTTATTTTATTTTATTTATTTTTTTTTTTTTAAAGATGACCGGTAAGGGGATCTTAACCCTTGACTTGGTGTTGTCAGCACCACGCTCACCCAATGAGCTAACCGGCCATCCCTATATGGGATCCGAACCCAGGGCCTTGGTGTTATCAGCACCGCACTCTCCCGAGTGAGCCACGGGCCAACCCCTCAATAAATATTTTTTGAATTGATGAATGAATTATATTTCTGGGCTATATAGTCTATCCCATTTAAATTCTTTCACCTTCATTATTGAAGTTTGATGTTTTTTACACTTGACTTTACTAAGGATAACTCATGTTATATGCATATACCAGAAAACTATATGCACTTTTGCATTCATTGCTTTTAATATCTTGCTCCCTCCCTCCCCAAACAACTAAATTACTTATATTTTAAATATTTATTAAATTTAGCTCATATAGTCTCCACCAACACTGTGTGTTGGATGAGGCCTTGTTATTGCCTGTTGGGATCAAAAGTCCTGGTTCTCTTTGCCTTATCTGATGCCAACACAGTGGGGGATAGGCTTGCCTCATTATTGCCTGGTAGCATTGAGGTCTAGAATCCCAGCTCACCTGGCATGGATAGGGGTGGGGCAATAGTGTTTCTGTGGTGTTTGGTTGGAGTAGAGCAGTTATCAGCTAAAAGTTTTCTGTCTTGCTAGACTGCCCCTTTCCTGATCCTATTGCTAGAAAGAGCACATGCAAACTTTGGTTGAAGCTTTTCTTGTTTGTGCCCATTGGTGTTTCTATGTTGTCAGCTTCCTTAGCTCTAAGTCACAGGGAAAAAAAAAAAAAATCTCAGGGAATTCACCACCATGTTGTTACTTGGATTTTTAGTTCCTTAGATAGTCTGCCTTATTTTCTCCACCACAGACTTCTTGAGTTTGTTTGATATATAATGTCCAGGGATTTCAGTTGTATTTAGTTGTAGGAGTAGGGAAAAGTACAAGGGTACTTCAAAAAGTTTATAGAAAGATTTGTATTATCTTTTCATTCTATTTTTCCACAAACTTTTAAAAGTACCATTGTCTGTCTAATTCATTTTCTCAGAAGCCAAAATCTCCATTCTATCATTTGTAAAAGTTGCTATTTTAAAAATATGTAATTACAGATAAGATTTCCTTTATTTATTTATTTATTTATTATTTTTTTAAAAAGATGACCAGTAAGGGGATCTCAACCCTTGGCTTGGTGTTGTCAACACCACGCTCACCCAGTGAGCCAACCGGCCATCCCTATATAAGATCCGATCCCGTGGCCTTGGTGTTATCAGCACCGCACTCTCCTGAGTGAGCCACAGGCCGGCCCCAAGATTTACTTTAAAAAATTAATTAAGTTTGATTGTGAACAAAAGCGAATTGTGCTGCATGTTAAATAATAATATATTTCACCATTGTTATATGATTTAAATTCAACTAATTTTTCTCATGGTAGAGAATTTTTATATTTATGTGAAATTAGCAGAAACCCAGAACAGTATTTACATAAATTTAAAAAAAAAAAAAAGATATATATATATATATATATATATATAATTGCCTAGTAAATCTTTATTTATTTAGTTGTAGTAATAAGTAGTAATGTATAGTTGTTACACAGTGGAGGAAATACATTGAGTTAATTAAATTTCCACTAGAGAGTCACTAAAATCTCCATTAGGAAATGCCAGAAATATTGGAATAAGCAAAATATGCTTGTGAAAAAACTTTATTAATTTATTACATGTATTATATAT